TCCTTCATTCGACTTATGTGACACATATTCGCTTTACAATATTAAGTTTAGATTACTGATCCGTTGATCCTTATCAACCCTCAATTCTTACCCCCGTATTTGAAATGTTAGTTCACGGAGTTATCAAGGCATCAAGGTGGATTCGTGTCTTGGTTGCTAATGTAGCTGTCTGCAATTACTTCATCACACGCAGTTCAGTAGATACAAATTACAATGTTTCGTATTTTGCTGCAATATTCATCACAATTTACAAAGTTTATTGTGTGTACTATAAACATTACGAAATTAAGATGTCATAATGTTATGTATATTAATGATCGCATCACGCAAAACATCTACCAACGAAGTATATTTATATACAGTGCTGGGTAATGTATTTTGCTGTGGCGAATACCTATCTACTGAACTAGCGTACCTCTAACTGTATATATGAAATATATAAATGTGTATAGAAATTATAAATAAGATATTACTTAGAACAATTTCTTATACGCATATTCTTAACCTGACCTTAAGGGTGTGTAACGAAATCGTGCAATTCAATTATAAATAATGGCCTCCATTCAAAATAATTTGGTATTTTTTAGCACATGTGTGTAGGTAATAGGAACTGGAGAAAAAACTTGTAATAATTTAAAGAACGTACGTAATGGACACCCCTCACCTTCAACATACACAGACGACCGTTAAACAGCAACACTCTATCTAACAACATGATAACCGCATAAATCCTTTTAGAAAAAGTTGAACCGACTTCAAAAAATATTAACAACAAAGAGCACTAAAAAACTAGCAACAATCGTGGTTGATTTGCTGTCATTTTTTTTTGAGTTCCGTTGTCTGTCTCCGAAACTTATTCTCAGATCTATATGAAATTTAAATGGGACTATTTAGGAATAAACCCCTTTCGAAGAAAAAATCATTTTGAAAATCCGTCTATATATGAAAGTTACGGCCGAAAATACATAAAAAAACATCCGAATTGAAAACCTCCTCCTTTTGGAAGTCGGTTAAAAAACCACAAATATTCGAAAGATGTCTAATTTAATAAAACATTCAGCGGGGCTTATCTTCTTCATTTCGAAAACCGAAAGAAAACCTTAAGAAGTAGGAAACCACGAGATAATAAAACCAAGAGAAAATTACCATCTAACATACATATTATGTTGTTTTGAAAACGATGCGATGTGACAAGCCCACATATTTTTTAACGATTTAGTTTATTTGAGCATGTCACAAATACCCAATCACGGTAGAATATGTTTTATATCGCCTATCTCATGATATATGCGCAGTCACTACCTGGCACTTTTTCTTGTTTTTATTCTTCTGTGGAGGAAACCTTAGATTTTTAACATTTTCCTCCTCTTTTTTTAACTCCCGGGACGCTATCGCGTCGATGCCGGAACCAGGAGCATGTGGTGTCTCCACTAAAAACCATTTGACGGTCGGCCTCAGACGCTGTAGTCTGGGGAGGAATTATTCAGACGGGTCCTTTTAAACCGGCTATACCTCCAGTTTAAGTTGGAAAAATCATATTATAGATAATGATTGTTTAAAATCAAAGTAACATAATATTATAATTATGTAGATCATAAGTTGAGGATTGTGTCCGATAGATGGTGTTGTATTAAACGGCTAAATCGCGCTATGGTATGTTACACGCGATATGTGTATAAGCAGATGTTAAAGTTTTGTAGGCAAGAATTACAGCTCCTAGATCAGAACACAGTTGTGGTTTCATTTGTTCCCAACCCTTCTAGTAGTTCTTAGTTCAATAAGTCAATAAACAATGATCTGCCTCGCTTTTAGTGACCTTACTAAATCTTCTATTATAAATAGGAACAGTTTTTCTAATCGACGTAATTAAAGAATTTTTGGAAAAACTACATGAATTAATTATACAGGAATTAATTTAGAACGTACAATAAATTTAGCTTTGATAAAGATCGTTCAGCCCGTCTCTAGCTCTCGGATTTTACGTAACACTCCAAATATTAAAGGATAACCCGTTGGCTATGGTAGTCTCGTTATAAAACTAGTTACTACTTGAATAAGTAGAAAAACTGTGAAAGGTTAAGCTACCTATGTAATTTTACGTGGCGAAAAATTCACAGTGGGAGAGTGCGAATTTTTCCATAGAGACGAGACCTCTATAGTAAAATGTAGCCGTTTTTACATAATGTTGAACTTTAAAGCACATAATATTTAAAAATATTAGCTTCTGCACTTCTTCTATATATGATAAACATTAAGTATTCCAAATATGATAATGCTTCTTTGCTCCCTACTTATTTGTTCAAAAAAGTGTGAGTACAAAGGATTTGCTACACATATTGAAAATAGATGCCTACACGGGAACAAAGACACAACACTATTCTATTGTTTAAAAATAAATGATCGTTCACACAATATTTATAACAATTAAGGATTTTGTGAACCATTTAAATAAATAAAAAATGTCTCACTAAAAATGGGTGCTATCATCCTATAAACATATCAGAGCCCACATGGAGGGAACAAACAGATAGAGACAAAATCAACTTACAATTGCTGTATAATCATCACAATAATTGTAAGGTTGCATTTAAGTCTTAACCTTGATTTTTAAAAGCTTCAGATGTGTGATAATGTCTTGTCTTCGCAATTAATTCACCTTTTGCTGTTGATACAACAAATCTCAGTGATTAAATATTATGATTTATTTTAGATTAAATGAATACATAAGCATAGTACGAAATAAATAAATATTTATAGAATTCATATATATTTTTGCTCGAAGACAATTAGTATTGCGATGGTTCTAATCTTTTAAAGCGAAGGAGAATGATGTGCAGAATTGACAGATTAAGTCAACGAAAGATAATGCATAAATCGCAAGTTAGTTAAGCAACGATAGTTACCCTTGAGTGCGAAACCAAAGACAAATAGTTGTTTTGTTTTTCGTGACATAATCAGTACATTAAAATAAAAATATCTGTGCCTCACATGCTTCTTCTCCTCCTAATTACTGGAACATTAAAAATTGGCTGCAACGGTAGATGATTACCTGAAAATTTAAAAATGTATGACATGTAAAAGTTCTGAAACTCAGTGTCAATATTATCTTATGAAATGTCTGAATTAATAGAATACAATAGGGAAATTTATTTTCACCGATGAAAATACGAAGACTCATCTGCAATTACCTATTAGTTTTTATTCCCAATTAGCAAAAAGTTTTCGGGGGGGTCAATCATCATTACTCACTTAGCTTTTTTAGCTTACGGGTAATATTAGTTGCTATGTGTAAAACAAATGATACTTCTAAAACTTCTAAGCAATAAAACTAACAAACCTTATATCATACCCATCTAAACACACATTATTTTAATTGTTATAGGTATATCTCTTATGAATAGATATCCATTTACTATTACTAAGAAAAGAGAAATTATGTACACCGCGGATATTATTCTCTTTGACGGCCTTTCAAAATGATGGTCATGTTGAGCATTTTTAAAACACAAACAGGTTCGAATACCGCAAATTTTTGTATACCTGAATTTGTCGAATTACAGGTATTCTTAAAAAACGAGTTACCAGTTACTTTAGTTACCATTTACCCTGCAAAGTAAGCATGCCATCAAGGAGCCATATGGATGGCATTTACCTAATGGTTTTCTTCCTTACAGCAGTGATAAGAACTTATGACTACTTTTTTCTTCTGGTCTGGTCAGGGTTAGATATTAAGTGTTTAGATACGTAAATTGAAATTGCCTTGAATTACGATTTATGAGTGGAATCATTTGTTGTTTCGCGGTAACCTTAATAAATGACACTCCTTTTTCATAGACTTTCACACTCATAGCTATAACATTGTTTGGAGCTTTACTGGTGTTTTATAACTCATGTTTTATTAATAAAGTTTTTTTTAAGCCTTCCTATCAGCGTGGTAGGCAACTGGATGGGTCAGGATCGCTTTTGGTGAGGCCAACGGTTGAAAATCCAATTTGCGTTGTGGTTTTGTTTGTTTTGGGAGACACATATAACCAGAGGACTTAGACTAAAACAAAGACGTTCTTAAAAGAGTTCCTGAACTTTTATACTAGGAGCAATCTTTGAAGTCAAGCCTTGACCTAGATCTAAGAATATTTTGAAAGGCTGACCGAACCGAAATTCTATATGAACAAAAAGGCGGAAGTAACTTTCGAGTCGCTATCGTCGATTCGTAGCTTCAATTTTTTTTAAATAAACTTTAAGAGCGAAGATCATCCTAAATCCTTGTAAAGCAGAATAGGAAGAGGATAAACGGCCTTCAACATTCTAGATCTTTTAGCAGATTATGACAATAAATACTGAAACTTTCTCCAATCTTTAAAAACTAGTGAAACGCTAAAAGTCAAAAGATTTAGAAATTAATATTGGAAATAAGACTCAACAAAACTACTAGCCGTTGAAAGTAGTTGCATCCGTAGTTTTAGTTACTACTCTAGTTACGACCCGTAGGGTCATTGATTGATGTTTTATAGTCTTCGTCCAGAACTAGTCTGTAATTGTGAATCTTTGTTTGCGATCCTTGTCATTAACCGATTAAATAATAAAATTCATAATCTATACTTACACATTGATCTGATCAGTACCTTAGATTTTTATTATTATTTTAAATTTACAATAATCAAGCAGTTACTTCCGTTAGGTCCACTCTTTGCCAAATATTTACCCATATTCAAATTTACTTATTATTGCAAAATGTTTATTTTATAATTGCAAATTGATTAAACAGGAACTTGTAACGTTTGGTATGATGTGTGTTTAGAAGTATCTAACAGCAAGTCGGCATGAGCACGACGTCGCAGGGACAAAGGGTTGCATCACTGTCGGTCGCAGAGCAGCTTCCGTTCGCCTCTTCACGGCTTTGACGGCCGCGATCGTTGTGCGAGTGGGAGATGCTCTATCACATATATAATGCGTTACCAACGATCCCTCAGCATGCAGTTACACTAGAGCACAGCTGCACAATGAAGGTAATCCATATTTTCTAAAATTAACTAGGAGTATATAAATAAATATTTTTTGTATCTAACTTAAAAACATTAAAAAAAAGTATCAAGTACTTAATCAATATCTTTTGACAAAGTTGGTAAATGTATGTAAGATACAATGCCTTAATTATGTCGTTTATAATGATAAGAGCTTTACATCTCACTTGTATTTTTTACTATCTTTCCTCAAAAGATCATCGAAGAATATAATATTGTCGCTAATTCTTGAATTGCCTTAATGAACACAATTCCGTCAAATATACTTACTTATCATTCTTAAACCCCATAATTTGTTTCTACATAATCCATTATTCGGCAATTCGCTTATAAAACTAGGCGAGATTCAGTACATGCATAACACACCATCTTAATATTATTTCCTCCTTTCATTCACCTGTAACCTAAAAACACTTTTTGATTCTCATCTTTACCTAATTACAATAAGCGTCTTGAAGACATTAATGTGCGTGTTTAATTTTATAATATTTAGTGTTATCATTTTTGATATTAAATTATACATAATCGTTTTTCAGGTCTTCGTGTGTCTGTTAGCCCTTGCGGTTGTCGTTAGAGCCGGTTACATAAGTAGCGGTGGTTGGTCTGGCGGAGGAGGGGGAGGAAGCGGCGGCTGGTCCAGTGGCGGCGGTGGCGGCTACGGCGGCGGCGGCGGCGGCGGCTATGGGGGCGGCGGTGGTGGCTGGAAACTAGGTGGAAGCGGCGGTGGCTGGTCCAGCGGAGGCGGCGGTGGTGGCTGGAAAAGTGGGGGCGGCGGCGGTGGTGGCGGCTGGAAGAGTGGAGGTGGCGGTGGTGGCTGGTCCGGCGGCGGCGGCGGCAGCGGTGGACGTAAGTTATTTAACATACTTTTAAAATAATTGTTATAGGCTAAAATCGGTTACTATGTAATACTCTTCTTACTTTTACTTTACAGAAGTAAAAATCATCAAGATCATAACCACCGGCGGAGGCGGTGGCGGTCATGGTAAGTAAACAAATAAACAACGTCAAGTTATTTTCTTATTTAAAAAGTAGTAGACACTATACAGTAATGTCTAGCGTTTGGAGGTTGAAAGACCGCCCACAGTTAGGGTCATCCATTCGCTCCGCAGGTCAACATAACAAATTTCGCGACCTTGCGTTGAACCTGGACATTAGTAGCTTCGATGTTTGAGATAAAATCGTGAGTAGTAAGAATAGAACTAGTATACGCAATCTTTGCATTATTTTAATGTAACGGCAAGGACTCCACGTTCCTTCCTATTTGACCGCAAGTCAAGGTATTTGCTGTTTTATTGTTAAAAAGTCGTAGGATTTAGGATGCTTTCTAATTCTATCCTAAAATCATTTCTTGTCCCTTATATTTGGAGTTGCTTCGATATGTGTTTTAACGCACATTAATAGGTAATTAGGTAAATACTCGTATAAAAAACACGCTAGGTAGGTACGTATGTTTACTGATAGGTATTTTTTTAATTTTTCTTTTAAAAAGACAACTCCCGCGCTAGGAATAAATCCTGTGTGGCGTAAATCCGTTTAATGTATGTTTGTAAGGTCCCCACTTTACAAACATGCATTAAACGGATACACAGACTGAAAGCAACAATTTGTCGATCACACAAAGTGTTGCCCCATGTGGGGATCGAACCGATCGAACACCCAGCGCAGAAGGAAGCGGCGAGGTGACCGCTTAAACCACTACGCCATCTGTGTAGTCAAAAGTTTGATAAATCGAAACCACAAAACCTTTTCCTTCTAAAAGTAATCTCGTAATGTTAACATGTTGCGGAGTAATAAATTGTGTACTGAAAAATTAAATGTGTACTTATTCCATTACAGGCGGTGGTTATGGTGGCGGCAGCGGCGGCGGCGGCGGCTGGAACTTAGGAGGTGGAAGTAGCGGCTGGTCCAGCGGTGGCGGTAGCAGTGGATGGTCCAGTGGTGGCGGCGGTGGCGGCTGGAAGCTCGGCGGTAGCGGTGGTGGCTGGTCTAGCGGCGGCGGCGGCGGTGGCTGGAAATCTGGGGGTGGCGGCGGCGGCGGCGGTTGGTGGTGATTGCCTAACCGATTCCCATATATAGTACAATTTTGACAATACAGTGATACCTCCAAAATTATATACTTTTATTTTATTACCCGACTCATGACCCACTGAAAGAATTCGCGTCCACCAGGTTCAAGGATTGACTAACAATTGAACCTGGTGGACGCGAGAGCGACTGCTCTCTACGAGTTAATGATTGTGAGTTACTAGCTGATTTTAATTTAATTTTCTTTTATATCGCCTTGTGAACGTCAGTATTTCACTTACACTTACAGTAAAAAAATCCGGACAAGTGCGAGTCGGACTCACCCACCGAGAGTTCCGTACCATTTTGTAGGTACAAATAGTTCAGGAATTGAGTCTCGCAGTTTTTGCAGAGCTTTTCCCAAAATTCAGATGCGATAAATCATTTTTAAAAAAAATTGAACCGACTTCAAACAATACTAACAAAGAGCACTAAAAATTATAAAATCATTACAAATATAGAGTTACATAATATAATAGAAGGCCATTGAATTCTCGTAATAAAAGTTCGGTCTCAATTCAGCTCCGATCAACTTTGGATCTCACGACTATCATAAAAGGTATTTTTATATTAAAATAGTAAAGTATTACTAAGACTAGCAGATTACCGATTTAATTTTTAGTTACAATATTTTTAATTACATTACAGTCAACGTTGGATGTTTAATATTTTTACTACGAAAACTACGAAAGTACCTTTTATGACAGTTGTGAGATCGAAAGTTGATCGAAACCGAATTGAGACCGACCTTTTATTACGAGAATTGGCCTTCAGGTAATATTGGTGCTAATTCTTTTGTTCGGAAACACAATTGGTCACTTGTTATTCTGTTGTACGTTCTAATCGTAAAAGATTGATTAAAATTAGAAAAATCAGACTAAAATTAGACGTGTTTTAAATACATTCCGAATAATTTGTCGATTATATGGCAGTCGCGTGTGCGTTACCCCAGCAAAATAATGTCGAAAATGGTCATTTAAACGTTATAGATAATTAGTTGCTCCCCTTCTGTAATTGTTAAGCACATTTTTAAATTTGTTTCACTTAAACTTTTTTAGTTATTTCAAAAAAACATTTCCTGCTGGGGTAACGTTTGAAACGTTACCGCAGCCAGACATTTTCTTTTTTAATTGTAATATTGAAATAAATTTTAGCTAAATAATTAGTTATCTGGACTAGGTAAATGCTACAATTTATTTGGTATTTGTATTTTCTTCGGCTGCGAAGTTATTCGAGATCCTGCCGGAGTAACGTTTGTGGGTTTGCTGGATCTCTAAAACGGGTAAGCGGATTGTAACCATCTTTTGCACATAACTTCTTAAGGATTAGTTTTAAATTGTTCGACAGTAAAATAACAAAAATAATGGACCGTTTAAAAAGTATTTAGGTAAGTATGAAAACACTTCAATACGTCCTAACACTTTGAATAAGACCTCTAAAGACTTACTTTAAACGTTATTCTATTGCTTGTAACTACCTTCAAATGTATACGAATTTTCGTAAGTATACTGTAAGTGACTAAAAAGTTGTGATGAAATGTAGCTCTCCACGTTCACGATCACAATGTGTGAGGCCTTTTTTGGCCACCGATAAACCTGTATGGGGTATATAAACTGAATGTTATGCCAATAATTAGTTGTTTAGTTCAGTTGTCTACCTGTAAAATTTCAGCGTCGTACATATAATAATTTACGAGATAATTAAATAAAAGTCATTAGAAGGTGCAAGACCGTGGTAACCCGACCATGTTTAGGTGGTTACATAAAAGCGATCACCCAGTACATTGTGCTGGCTTTTAAAATATGTAGGATATTATTTGCAAGTTTACTACGGATATGTAGGAACGAGCACAAAATTACATCCTCAGCAAGTGATAGCACATTACCGCTATCAATGCCTATGTATATGATGTGTGTATATATGTATATGCTGTAGGTTACATAAGTGTTACAAAAACTACATGTTTTTAAATAATTTTTATTTAGGATTGTTTATTGCATAATTAGTAATCAGCCGGGAGATTAGGTATTGTTTTGAATGCTTTTGTTTTCTCGTAATGTTTAGGTGAATTGTTTATAGTTGTTCATAGAATTGGTACCTGTGTAGTATTTGTTAATTGAAGTTTAATTTTAGGGTGTGTATAGGTAATTTAAGTTTTGAAGAGTGTAACGTATGCGTTGTAAATAGGTATTTTGTAAATAGATTGGGATTTTTTTAAAGTGATGAATCGACTTAGGCTAGCATATCGCGAACAAACTCTGCAGTGCATTATTTCTGTAATAATGTTGGAGAAAATAAAATATTTGATCACAAAATTGCGGTGAGTTAAATTATAATAAAATAAATTATTTATGTAAAATTAGTAATAGTGATATACCTACAAGTTATGAATGTCTTTAATTTTTTTTTTTTCCCACATTCACACAACGCCATCTAGTCCCAAACTAAGCGGAGCTTGTGCTATGGGTACTAGACAACTGATATAAATACATATATACTTTTTTTTTTGTAAATACATACATATTATACATAGACATAGACATATTGTTCACCCCGAACGAAATTTCAATATTAGCATTAGTAATTAACATCCTAAGACAAGAATTCGCAATTACTTAAATTGAATCTAATTAGCATTAATTCCCATTAGGTACTAGTAATTAGGTACACACATATTGAAGAACTCCCAACAATACGATAAATATTTGCAAAAATAGAAAGGAAGCGCACACGCACCAAGACGTATATTATCTGCCTAAGGGTCAAGTTTAGTGCACTAGATGCAAATTGCAAACAATGAAGTATCCCTTCGCCCCTCCCCTCCCGCGTTCTAGCTAAGGATGTATTATCGGCGATTCTTGATTGACAAATATTATCTGACCAATAATTTTATCTATAAAAATGTATCACTTTCACTCGATATATTAAATTACCGTTATCAACAGCCTATACTATATAGTCCACGGCTGGACATAGGCCTCTCCTTAGAAAGGAGGTTTTGGCCTACTATACCACGCTGGCCAGACGGGTTGGTATAGGGTTTGTTTCAAGTTTTCCTTCTCTTTGCAGTGCTGTTGTCCTGCTTATATTGCTCCCTTAGTCGGCTCTTTCGACACCCACGGGATGAATTGGGGTGGTGACAATTTGTTTTCTTAATCCGTTACCGTTATTATATCAAAATATCATTCAACAACTGTTCGTTTTTAACAGAAATCAACAGTCACAGGTAGGTACATAGGTATAGATAATTCTCGGTTCTCGGTATAGACCACAGAACAATATTACCTACTCTTACGAGGTATACGACTGTTGGGCGATGCAATGTTGATGCATTCTAATTTACAACTGTATTCTTCTACTATTATGGTCTATTTTAACTAATTGTAGATGACTTGTTTCTTTAAATATTTTGATGAATTCAAGTCTAAGCTCTATATACCTCAAAATAAAATACAATTACTTCAGTGTTATTTCTTTACAAAAAAAATCAAAGAAATGAAACGATTTCTTAATGGTTTAAATTTTCGATTTATTGCAGTCAGGTGAATCGTTCATACATGTATCTACATATTTATAATTTTAGCGGGCCAGTGCAGATTTTCCATTATTTTTGTTATTTTATTATCGAACAAATTAAAACTAATCCTTAAGAAGTTATGTACAAAAGATGGTCACAATCCGCTTACCCGTTTCAGAGATCCAGCAAACCCACAAACGTTACTCCAGCAGGATTTCGAATAACTTCGCAGCTAAAGAAAATACAAATACCAAATAAGTTGTAACATTTACCTAGTCCAGATAACTAATTATTTAGCTAAAATTTATTTCAATATTACAATTAAAAAAGAAAATGTCTGGCTGTGGTAACGTTTCAAACGTTACCCCAGCAGGATATGTTTTTTTTTAAATAACTAAAAAAGTTTAAGTGAAACAAATTTAAAAATGTGCCTAACAATAGGCTAGTTGACAAAATTTCAATAACTGCTTAATATTTTAGCTTATTAGGCATTTTATCGAAATAAAAGGTTTATTTATTTTTAATCGAGCGTTTACATTATAAATTTCGCGTTTTAAAAAACCAATTTCAATTTGGTTCCAAAACGCACAAGACTGTCATGGCGTCTTGAATGACGTCACGCCGTGCGAAACAAACCAAAGAGCGATCGTGTCTTCGTACGTTATAGCTGGTTTTTATCGTTTAAAAATGAATTTCTCATGTTATAAGTACTGTATAGTGCCCCAGTGTGATAGCACGACTATAAAAACGCCAAACAAGTTATTTATATATGTTCCAAACAATGGAAAAATACGGAAAAAGTGACTAAAACTTGCAAGAAGAGATGATGCTCATACTTTATCAACAGGTTCAAGAATGTATTTTTGTGAAGATCATTTTGATGTAAGTATTTCACACAATACAATCTATTACTTAATTCGAGCAAACTAGATGTGTTTTGTAGAATCCCTATTTTCTAAATAATAAATACATGAGTTCAGGTTAAGTTGTTTCACTTTTAGGAGTGAACGTTTTATTTTAGTTTTCTAATTAATGTTACAAAAATACTCTTTTTATTATTCTAGTTGCCAAATGATATAATTAATTATATGGAGTATCATATGAAGGGAACAGTATCACAAGTGAGCATGAAACCAGGTTGTATGCCAAGTAAATTTGGATGTCAAGAAGACAGAAGAAAACGAACATGCAGCAGTACAGAATGGCCATATATTCTAAAAAAACAAAGAAAGATGATAATAGAAGAGTGTCTGAATGAATCAAAAGAAAGTTGTACTCCAAGTGGTTAATTCTTTCAAATTATAATTATCAAAAACTGTATCAACTTGATATTAATTGTTAAAAACCAAAATTTTATCAAGAACAGGTAGTGATACTTGAAACGTCAAAGACAAGATTGGAGTTTCGCACGGCGTGACGTAACGCTTTCTGATTGGTGTTCACTGTCACGTGACTAAAGGTTTCATTTTACGAAATTTATTTTTTTAAAATATTATTAATCTTTAACGCTTTTAATAATTAAAATTGTTTGTTATTTTCTCCATAATATAATTAATCATTATAAACCCCTATCCATTATATTTATTCTTAATGGACACAAGCCTATTATAGAAGGGGAGCAACTAATTATCTATAAAGTTTAAATGACCATTTTCGACATTATTTTGCTGGGGTAACGCACACGGCAGTCGCTCCGCGTAAAAAATCGAAGTTCAGCCTTATCGTAGTAGACTTAAAGCCGACCTCAACCTAGTTTCAGAAAAAGGCTCGGAAGGGAGATGTACTTGTACAGAATAGTAAATCTTGGATGTAAGAGATCGCAGACTGTGATCATCATCATCATCAACAACAGCCTATAACATTCAACTGCTGAAGGTTTTTAACATTCAACCTTAGAAAGGAGGTTTTGGCCTACTATACTACGCTGGCCAGACGGGTTAATATATGGTTTGTTTCAAGTTTTCCTTCTCTTTGCAGTGCTGTTGTCTTGCGTAGTTTGCTCCCTTAGTCGGCTCTTACGACATCCACGGAATGAATAGGGGTGGTGACATTCTGTATTCTTAATCCGTCACCACACGGACTCAGACTGTGATAAGACCACCAATTTTATTCTTTATCTATTTTATGATTGTATTATACTTTTTTGGTGTGCAATAAAATCTGTTTTATCTTATGAAATATATTATTTTGAAAAAAATTGTAGGAGAGCCATGCTTCGGCACAAAGGGCCGGCTCGACCGGAACACGGTCTCAGAGTGAGTGAGGTTACCGGAACCAGAAAACCCCCCTTTCCCCTAATTTAGGAAGGAGGGACTCAAAAGGCTGCAACACACTTGTGACTGAAGTTGCAGGTGTCCGAGGACGATGGTAGTTACTTACCATCAAGTGACCCTTCTGCTCGTTTGCCCCCTATACCATGAAATAAACAAAAATAAGAGACTAATCCTTTTTCATTTTTTAAAACAACTCTATGAGGCATCACTAGAGTTGTCTTTAAAAATAAAAAAGTCCTTAACTAGTAATTAATCTTTACGAAAGTAAATCTGGTCAGTCGAATGTCGAATGACAATATTGAATCTTATCACTAAGGGGCGCGCTGGGCAATGCGTGAGGCTTGTCATACACAGTACACATACAATACCGTATTTTGGAATGTGAAGTAGTGTTAAAAAAAAACCTTACTTAAAAAACTATAAAAATATAATTTATTACTCAGCATTTTTACAGAATGGAATGTTTAAAGAATATCTTAAGCTAAAGTAGCTTATAATCTTGGTTGCACTTAACAATATAAAGTCATCAAGTTGTGTGTGTGTGTCATAGCATAAAGGAACATCTTGATACAAAAACCATGGAACATATTTAAATGTAACAGAGATTATGTGGAGAGCATAATACTTTACGCTGTTAACTAATCAGAACCAAATACTTACTGTTGGTTAGCTTAATTTCCAAAAACACAAAAACATATAAAAAAGGTGTAGGCTGGTGCAATAATTATATAGGTACTGCTTTAAAAATGCACTAAGTTTTATGCCAGATTGCATTCCTCACTTTTTTAAATGGTGATTTCATTTTAATGGTAACGGCTCAAACATAAACCTATGTGGTTTCTCCAGAAGCTGTTGTTTTGTAAACTTTCTCTGTCAAGTTGTTTTATGTGATAAATAAAAATAAAAATTCATTGTTGTATCTTTTAGTGAAACGCCATTAGAAGCAATATAGGAGATCGCCATCTTGGGATCACTTCTTAGTACATTTTTTCTTTCCATTCACCCCCTTTTTTATTCTATTCGGATTATAATTTTCCTTTTCTGATGAATCAGTGCTAGTTGGAGTATGTCCTCTTGGTCTACGTCGTGGTTTAGATTCATGTTTTTTCACAGTAAGAACTGAATTTAGTAGGCCATATACTCTGGAATTTACATAACCATTTTCAAATCCAAATTACATAGTTAAATGCAAAAAATCATAACTTCTTTTCATACTATGCAAATAGAAGTACTTGAGAGCTAAAAGAAGTAACTTTTAGAAGGTATAATTAAAAGGCAAAGAAAATATATAATAAATAGCATAGTACAAGGTCAAAAATATTTAATTTAGGATAAATAATCATTTCAAAAAGTGCTGCAATAGTAATTTACATAATGATAACATCTAAGAGGCACAGGTCATTGTTCCAAGTATTTAGTTGTGTCCATGAATTCTATTAACAAAGTCTCTTGCAACACCAAAATAATAAAAATAAAAGACAATCAAATAGATTTACAGTATCAAATGAATGGTTTTAGTATTTACTTACGACTCTTCACAAGATCTGTGGACATCAGCTTTTACAGACATAGGTCCGCTAACTTCCAAATCTGTGTCACTATCAGATTCCTCAATAACTAAACCTTTGCTGACATCTTTGGTTTGGTCATATATATTTTTGTCATCTACAAGTAAATCTTCACTTAGCATAATATCATTTTCATTCATTTCATTTAACATTTTATCTAATGCTAAACTCTTATTAATACATTCATTTGTTTCATCATAATTAGTTTTACTTGTTGGAACTATGTCACATAAATCTGTTTGTACTGAGACTGTATTCTTTGTATTTATTTTGAAATCACTTTTTACGTTTTTAAAGACTGAAATAGTTGTTAAAAAGTTTTCTCCGTCAATAGTAATTTTAACAGGTTTAATCCGATTTTGTACTGGCATTGGTTTGTCTGAATTCAATTTATTCTTACAATATTTACAAGTTTCTATTATGGCACTCCTTTTGAAGAATGGTACTCTTGAGACACTAATTTCCTTAACTTCTGTTGCATTAAAGTCACTTTGTTTATTACTATCATTGGTACAGTGAAGAGAGCTTAGGTTTACTAAAGAGGTAGATTGTAAGTCCTCATTTTGACAGGCTTTAAGCACTGAAAGCCATGCATTTGTATCCTTGTCGATAGCTGTTTCTTGTGAGTCACAGATAACAATAGGCTCATCCTCCATAAAAATACCACTTTCATCATTATTACATTTCCTTAATATGTTAGGATTAATATTCTTACTGTAAGACACATTTTTGTTCTTAGCTCGCTTAGGAATACTATCAAATTTATTATAAACTGAATTAATACTTTCTTTACGGGCACACATTTTATCAGTTACTTTTCTATGACTCCTTTTTCTACCAGCACCCAAGAAAATAGTTTCATTTTGTTTTATGTTTTTACTTATAGGTTTGTTTGCCCAGGATGTGTTAACATTCAGGTCTGAAAATGGTTTCCGAGCGAGATTTGATTCATTTTTCTTTAACCATTGCTGCACATAATTGGTAGTATGTGCCATATCCACTTGAAGTCTGACTTCTTCACCAGGAAAGAAAGTTGAAGAGTTGTTTTCATTAGTTGTCAGAGTACTTTTTCTTTTATTTTCATACTTTGCAGGAGCTTGTATACAGTTTGGAAATAGCTCCTTTTCAATTCTGAGCTGTTCAGATAGTCTTTTACGCTGAAATGCTAAAGAAATACAGGAACTATTAAGTTCACATAAACTTGAAATTAATAACACTTAAAGATACAAGTTAATGTTATAAATATCTACCGTTTGAATCAAAGAATTTATGGCATGCATTTAGGAGACCTACTGCACTTTTCACTGTTTGTGTTAATTGTTTATCAAACTTAGGTTGAATAGCAGATCTTAGTGATGGCGGCGAGCAAGCTTGACAGTCTTGTGCATAAGTAACACAATCATCACATGCAATATGCCCACACTGATATCTCACACGGGTTCCTTCTAATTTATCACTGAGAATAAAGCACAGAGAATAAAACTAAGTAACATTAAAAATCATAGTGATAGTAGGTGATTACAGTAAGACTATATGGGAGTATATTTTAAATATGGTTAATGTTATTATTGGAAAATGTATTACATTTTCGCGAAACTTACCATATTCCACATCGAACATTATCAATTATTTTGTTTACGAAACCAATAGCTTTAGCGAAATCCAAACTATTCATATTATCTGATTCACTTCGTCACATTGTCCAGATTTAAAATAGGTACCTCGCTATTGAAAAATATTTTAGTCTATTTATTCAATCAAAAGTATATAAACAAAAAGATATTATTCAACTGGTGCTAAAAAGGACTACAATAATTGCTGACTGCTGTTGGCGCTGTTGCTGACGTTGTTATTTGTTTTTTTTTAAATTATTTTTATTCATGACCATAGATACAAGTCTTTCAGTCGAAAACATAGATGGGTTTAAACTTCCTTAGGATAGTTAGGTAGTTGAAGATACTTATTGTTAAGTCACATTTTTCATTATATACCATATTAATAAACATAGGATTCATTCTGTTTTCATATGAATATGTTTTTCATGTTACCAACTTGCCGCCGTTTAAGTTTGGCTGGGTACATCTCAGTAATATCATCGTTACAGTATTTATCTAAATAACTAGTTGAAATATACATTTATAATTAATAATAATAATAATAATAAAGCTTTATTTTATTCCTTACACATAGTTTACATTGGTTCTAAATATTATTTGTAGTGTTAGTATTATACTTATTCTAGTTTGTTAGTATTTGTTATTAAACTGCGTTAACGTATTTTTTTTTTTTTTTTTTTTTGTGTAAGGACCGCTCTGGCGGTGAAAGCCTCCTCCATTTCCTTCCATTTCGCTCTGTCTCTTGCCAGTCTGCTCCAGGTATTCCCCACCGTGGAAACTATGTCATCACTCCATCTTTTGAATGGCCTTCCTTTCCGTCTTTTCTTGTGAATAGGATACCAATTAGTGACAATTGTGGACCATTTGTTCCCTGGTGATCTTTGGACATGCCCAGCCCATTTCCATTTTTGGGTCATTATGGTTTTTGCTATGTCTTTTACCTTGGTAATTTTCCTGACATCTTCATTTCTCACTTTATCGCTTAGCTTAAAGCCCAGGAGACTCCTTTCCATGCTATTTTGGCACACTTTGATCTTATGAGTCTGTTTTGTTGACAAAGGCCATGTTTGGGAAGCGTAAGTGAGGCAGGGTACTAAACATGTCTGCATAGCTTTAGTTTTCAGTGTAACTGGTAGATTACTCTTGAATACCTCCTTCATTGCCCAATACTTGTTCCAGGTTATTTTGATTCTTCGCTCTACTTCTTTATCATTGCATGACTTGAAGGATAGTAAATGTCCCAAAAAAAATATAGTCTTCGGCGTATTCGATTTCTGTTGAGTCTGACTTTATAATTATGGTTTGCTTATTTGTCATTAATTTGGTTTTTTCCCAGTTAATTTCTAGACCTACTTTTCTGCTTTCTTTGCTGAGTGACTGTATCATGAGTTCCATCTCTTTTGGGTCTTCTGAGAGCAGTACTATGTCATCCGCGAATCGCAAGTGCGAGAGGCGGTTGCCATATATGTTTATCCCTCTATCTTCCCAGTCAAGTTTTCTGAAAATTTCTTCGAGTACTGCAATGAAGAGTTTTGGAGATAAGGGGTCGCCCTGTTTCACTCCCCTTCCAATTTCAAAGGCTGAGCCATACTCATTTATTTTAATTCTAGCGTTACTTTTGTTGTATATTTCCTTCAATACATCGATATAGTCATGGTTCACTCCTTGCTTTGATAGAGCTCGCCAAATTGCACTGTGGGATATAGAGTCAAATGCTTTGCTATAGTCAATAAAGCATATGTAGAGAGGTAGGCCGTATTCGTTGTATTTTTCAATGACAAGTTTCAAAGTGTGGATGTGATCTGTTGTCGAAAACCCCTTTACAAAACCTGCCTGTTCTACTGGCTGGTGTTCATCTAAGATACTAGTAAGACGTCGGAGTAGAGTCGATGCAAACACCTTGTAGACGCACGACGTGAGGCTGATTGGTCTGTAATTTGATATTGATTTCGGGTCTCCTTTTTTGAAAAGCAAAACGATATCTGAGCACGTCCAATGTTTAGGTATTTCTTTTGTTGAGAGTATTAAATTGAATAGGTTTGTTAGTGGCGAAGTGAGAGCGTTTGTACCGGCAATTAGCATTTCGTTTGTAATACCATCAGATGCTGGGCTTTTTTCGGGTTTTAATAATTTTAACGAGCATTCGATTTCATTTATATTAAATACTGGTACTTCGTCATTGTTTTGAGAAACTCTTTCCTCTGCTAGATTTTTCTGGTTTGTGATATCTTGTGATGCATACAGTTGCTGGTAAAAGTTTGTGGCTATTTGCATGATCCCATCCCTGCTCGTAACTATAGATTTTTTCTCGTTTTGAAGCTGGTTCATCACGTGTTTTGAGTTGGTTAGATATTTATACGCCCTTTTAACTGCTCCAGATTTTCCAATGTGATTTTCTATAATATTGGCTCTATATTGTCTCATATTTTTCTTAATCTGTTTATTTATTCGTCTATATAGCTTGCTAAGTTGAGTTTTTTCATCTTTTGTTTTATTGTGCTTGTTTTTTAAGTAGTATCGTTGTTTACTAAGTTTTATAATTTCTGTTGTTATTATTACTTTCCTCCTGATGTTATAGTTTGATGATGCAAACTTGATGCTAGTACGTTCAGCGCTCTGTAAGATTGTTTTCTCTATAATGTCGTAGTAGTTTTGCACAGATGTTATCGTGTCTGGCTCTATGAATTTATTGATTTCTGCGGTGTATATTTCGTAGTCAATTTGTTTTCGTGCTGTTGTAGAGAAGTTTTTACGTGGTAGGTGCCTGCGCTCAATATTGATTGTTATTCTAACCATGCGGTGGTCACTTGGGTGGTGCACGCTATTTATCACACTGCAGTTTTCTATAATGTTCGGTTTGTTTGTGGCGATGAAGTCTATTTCGTTTCGAGTATAACCATCAGGTGACAGCCATGTCCATCTTAGTTTTCTAGGTTTTCTGAAGAGCGTGTTAGCTATTTTCAAATTATTCTGAAGGCAGAATTGAACAAATCTTTCAGCTCTCTTATTTCTTTTACCGTATCCGTAGTTACCCATCACTCTGTTCTCACCTCCTGCTGGTTGTCCAATTTTGGCGTTCATGTCCCCAAGAAATATAAAATTTGGGTTGCTTTTTTCCAATAATGTATCTAGGCTGGTGTAAAACTCTTCTATTTCTTTTTCGTTTGCTTTTTGGTAGGTGCGTAGGTTTGACCGATACTATATAGTTTTCCATTCAGCTTGATGTGAATTAAAGCAACTCTATCTGTTATACCGATAAAGTCAAGGACCTCTACTGACAGTTGTTTTTTAACTAGGAATCCTACTCCATATTTGCCTTTGGTGTGGCCGTAGTTGTAAAGGTAGTAATCGTCTCTGTCTTCTATTGTAAAACCTTGTCGTCTCGTTTCACTGATGCCTATTATATCCCATTTTAGTGATGATATAGCATGCTCCATTTCCAGTACTCTTGATTCATTTGCTAGGGACCTTACATTGAAGGTGGCAATATAGAGCTCATTATTTTTTCTTGTTTTAGTTATTGGAGGGTTGTGGTCTTTCGCCCCCGCGGTGACCAGCCGTATTGGGGGACGTAATTCGTTTTTTCTTTTTGAGTTTTTGGTGTTTTTTCGACTTGCGAGAGGAGGCGGCGTTGATTGCTATACTGCGTTTTGATCATGGTTGACTTGCTGGTTTGACGGATTGTTTGTATTTTTGTTCACTAAGTAATTTAACATACTAGGCTTCAGGACTCCCTCAGTAATGCTAGATGATCTTTGCAGTGATGGATGGGCAGATTTAGGGTTGTGTTTCCGTTTTTCTTGTGGTTTTCTATCTGCTACTTTGTGAGGGTTTAGTTGGTTAGTCTCTTGAGAGACGGAAAGCATTCTCTTTTTGCTAGATGTATCTGATTTATTTTCAAGAACGATGAGTTTATCGTATTTAATAATAGCTTTATTTCCTTTTTCTTTTTCTATTTTAACTCTTTTCTGTAATTCTTTCCTTTTTTCTAAGATATTTTTGGATAGTCCTCTTTTATGTAGTACTCAGTATTACTTAGTAACGATTTTTGCTTGAATATGACAAGCTTCATACCAAGTGTTGTAAAGGTTATTGTTATCGACCTAGGCCTTTCCCCTTTTTTGCCTATTCGCGTAATCGCCTGTAGATCTCTTCTTTCAAGCTTAATGCGAAAGTGTTTATCAATAAAGTTTATGGTACTGTTTTCTAAATCAGAGTAAGACAATTCTTTTTCTTCTAATCCAAAGAGTACTATGTTTCTCTGTCTTGCCTGTTTTTCCAGAAAATAGAGTCTCTTCTCTTGGTATTCTACTTTTTCTCTTAGATTGTTGTGTTTTTCTTCCCATGTTTTAAATTATTCATCAAGAATTATGTTAATGTTTTTTGTTACGTTTGTCGTAACATCTTCTCCGTTTTTAAGGATTGTTTTCTTCTGTTCGTCTAGCTCGTTTTGAATTTTTTGAAGTGCTAGCATTACCTCTTCCATAGTTGAAGAATTTTTGTATTTGGTTTTGTTATGGTACAACTGCTGCCCCTATTGGTAGTAAGCTGAACTAAGTAACGTTGTGGTGTGTTGCGTAGTGTCTGCTGCTCATCGGTAGATAGATGGCGCTATTTCCAAACAGACGATCCAGTAATAACTTTAGAATTTTTGACAAGAATCCAAAGTTAACACTTTCTGCTTTCCTTTGCGCTTCTTTGTTGACTCACCTTCTATATTAGGCTGTTGTAACTTCCTCTTCAATAAACTTGGTGGAATTCGAACGGTATTGCAGCGGTTGAAGAAATCCGTTGCCGTTGTTTTGAATACAGTTTTCCATATAAAGGATGCACTTTCACGTTTGATAACGAACGATAACATTTATAATTACTATGGACTAAATTTTTTCTACCGTATTACATATATATTTATATATCGCACTAAAAATTTTCTTATTAGCTAATAAATCCTGAACGCGGCGAGGAACACTTTGTTGGTGTTCACTTTCAATGTCATTGTCATCTGTGTCATAGACAAAACACTATAAATCTATCTGTGTTCTCATAAAGTTCACTGACCAAAATAAAACGTTGAATGTTAAAACTTGTGCACTGTAAGATAATATGATCCAAATCAGCTTCCTCTGCTCCACAATGATGACATCAGCTATTGTTAATTATGCGAATCCTATACAGGTGAGCTGGTGTTAAGCAATGTCCCAATCTCATGCGTGACAGTCATAAATTTTCTTGTGATATATTTGAATTTATGATACCAAGGTTTAATCGGTAATTCGTTTTGTATTCCAGCATACCATCTGCCTTTCGTTTCCAGGGTTATGTCCCAATACTCCTTCCATAACTGTCTATTACGTTCTTTAAAAAGGCTGTAGTAATCGGTGAATGGAACCTTGAGCAAATCAGATTGATCCTCATCATGGTCTGAACGGGCTGCAGTGTCAGCTACTTAATTTCCACGAATGCGACTGTGTGAAGGTACCCATACTAATTCTACTTTAACATGCTTATCAAGTCTAATATTATAAATAATATAATTTAACTTAAAAGAAATATTTATGTTAGTTAGAGCGGACAAAACACTTCTGAAATCTGTAACTATCAAAATATTATGTACATTTACAAGACTATTTACATGCTGCAGTGCACAATAGATTGCATAGCATTCTGCAGTGAAAATGCTACATACTCTGTTTAATTTAATACATTTAGTGTAGTCTAGCTGTGGATCATAGAAAGCTGCATTTACATTATGATCTGTTTTAGATCTATCTGTGTATATAACATAATGTTCTGGTCTATTGTCTTTAAATTGTAACAAATCAAATTGATTGTGCACTGTGTCCAAGTGGATTGCAAAGTTGGTAATAATACTATTATAAGGAATTTTGTATATAGGCCAAATATCATTTTTAACAATATCTTTTGAATTATTGTTTACATATTGTTGAAATTTCAGGTAGAGTTCCACCAACCAGAGGTAGCAGAAATAGCATCGGGAGAATAAGATTTTAACCAAGTCTCATTAAGAAGACAAACATCTTTTTTTTTTAATTAATAAATTTTGTAATAGGCTCTTTTTACTCTGTAAACTCTGTATATTATACTGTAAAATATTTAAATAATTATCCATGTTTAAATTAAATTTGATAAAAATATTTCCTTTTTTTCTTATGTGTGAGTGGCCCATCAGAGTCACTCTTGTTTCCTAATGCAACCAACGATTTAACAATTGCATTAATTACAATATCATTATTTGCTAGTCGTTTAATTTCTAAAGTTTCATTGGCCTTATCAGTCACCAATACACCAATCCTTTCTGTCAAATACGATGGTATAAACTTATTTTTCCATAAAAAGTCTTCCATCTTCAGAAAATTGTTGGCCGCAGCCGCCTTTCTGAATGTTACTCCTATTTTGTGTGCATTTAATCTATGTACTCCTAAGACTCCCTTAACATTTTCAGCTATTAAGTTGGTGAGTGTGATAAGATTTTTATGTCCTACCTTCTCCTGCTCTGTTGACTCGACGTATACTACATATTCAGAGGTGTTTTCTATAAACAGTCTTTTATAATTTGGTTTGGTAAAAATGTTATACTTAGTATCTGGGTCAGGTTTTCGGGTTTTGAGGTATTTTCTTTTCTTTTCCGCATGCTTTGGCGGCTCCTCACCACCACTGGAGACACTCATTGTTATTTAAATGTGGTATTTCAGTACAATTATATATTTAATTAACTTTTAACGAAATCAAAATTTACCGCTTCGTTTGACTACCCGCCAAAAGAAACCTTGGTATTTTTTTTTTATTATTGTTTTTTTATGGCCTGGTAACAAGACCTTTAAGCCAAGTCTTAATTTTACTATTTTCACTTCACTTCAATGTTCAAATGGGAATTCTAGGCGGGAATCTAAACTCCTCCGCCCTTTCAGTTCAAATTCCCGCCTAGAACTCCAACCTTGTTATTTGTTTTCGAATCGGTGTTGCCATAATGAATCTCAAAGAAATTTTGTAAAGACAAGTCTACTTACCTTCGATCAATAATCGAAGCTACTTACCAATAATCGCATCTATTAGTTGAAAGCTGTCAAGGTACTATCTATCGCATGGAACAAATCAAAGGTTATCAGCTATTAGGCGCTATCGTAGTTTGATCCCAAACCATTAGTCCGTTAAGTGTCAAGAAATTTTAATTAAATTTAATCAGTTACATTATCGCACTGTATTGTCTCTAGACAACACAGAGCGATATTGTAACTCACTGAAAAAAATTTTGCTCTGAAGCCGGAACGCACCAAATACCGATATTGAGATTTACCTAACACTTCAAGGTGATGCGGTGTTCTGTGGTCTTCAATAATACAGAGGACAACGTTATAGAGAAGCATGTTTCAGCAATGAGTAACGAATTCCATTAATTTCAGGCGAAAAATCTATTAAACCGTCTAGCACCAAGCTCAGAAAATGAAAAATTGTGGTCAAAATAGTTCAAAGGTGAAATACAGGGTGGTAGTTAAGGGAAGCAATCCAAGTTAGGGGCTGATGGAGGAGCTGGTTTGCCAGAAAAAGCTTTAAGCCTGGAAAAGATCCTGCAAACCAGTGATCAGTCCAGACCAGTCACACTGCGTCATTTTTCCAGTATCTATGCTGCCCGCGAAAAAAGTATTTTTTTTAATAGTAAAAAGTTATAATCATTTTGTGACAATACTCCTAAAAGAGCTAAGAACAAAAATATGTCTTACAGTAGAAATAATATGCTAACATTTTAAGGAAATGTGATAATGATGAAAGTGGTAAGTATTTTTATCGAGGATGAGCCTATAGCGATCTATTACTCACAAGAAACAGTTATTGACAAGGACAAAAATGCATGGCTTTCAGTGCTTAAAACCTGTCAAAATAAAGACTTAGACTCTACCTCTTTAGTAAACCTAGGCTCCCTTCACACCCCGGACACAAGGTTGTATATAAAGGCAAGTTAGTATACATATAATCTTGGCTCCTTGCTTGTGTCTATAGATGTAAAACAACCGATTTAAAACATTTGAAATGTTGCCGTTTTAAACCCCAAATAAATCGTTTTAAACGGTTGAAAACTTACCTACAAAAATAAAAGAACTGTGTTTTACACTTCATTGTGGGTAATTTGGGTCACCTGACGTCATGTTTCGTTTTATTTGGTTTATAGAAAATCAATAGAAAGTACCTATTCACCACCCCTATTCATCCCGTGGGTGTCGTAAAAGGCGACTAAGGGAGCAAACTACGCAGGACAACAGCACTGCAGAGAGAAGGAAAACTTGACACAAACCCTATACCAACCCGTCTGGCCAGCGTGGTGTAGTAGGCCAAAACCTCCTTTCTAAGGAGAGGCCTATGTCCAGCAGTGGACTAGTAAAGGCTATCGATGACGATGATGATATCATTCACCTACCTACCTACATCATTAAGGACCGGGGTTCTCTGACCGTCGGTAGCGTGTGGCCGACGACCGACGACCGACACGTGTCCGCCTCCTCGTGTCCAGAGTGGGTTCTCTGGACCCGGCCTCTAAGCGTCTGGTAGTCGTAATTGTTAACGGCAAAATTAACGAAAATATATTAATATTGTTAAGAGAAGAAGTGGAGGATTAACTTCTGATGTTATCAAAGAAAAGATAAAAGCTTATTCAATATTCATAAAATCACCAACCCACATAAATTCTTTTATATTAAATTCTGGTGCTCCTAATAGGTACTCAGATACTTGAAAATTTCGGTGGCAGAGAAAGATCTAAGTTTTGTTAAATTTGTAAGTTATATTCCTTCATATTTTACTATGCTTGACATACATGACTGCACGTGATAATAAAATTCGTTTTTTTATCTCCAATAAGTATAATTCTTAACCTAAAGCTTTTTGATGCAAAGCAAAATAAAGAAAAATAAGCTTTCCTACCTATGTTTCCGACATAGGTAGGAAAGCTTATTTTTCTTTATTTTGCTTTGCATCAAAAAGCTTTAGGTTAAGAATTATACTTATAGTAACGATAGACATGAGATGAAATTTGTAGTGTTCAAACATTGACATTAAAAAAAAATGTACACAAACAAAACAAATAGAACATCACAGTAGTAGGTACATTACAATACCAATAAATACAAGTATGGGTGTATATGCTGTATAAACGATTGCGATCAATACCCGAACGAGTTTTCATAATCCTCTTGGATTCTGTAAATTAGTAGGTTTATAAACATGGCGTTAATGGATTACAAACATTACTTTCCTATAGATAGCATACAAACAGTGTGCGATCTTTTTGCTGATCAACTACAAAGTGGAAAAGAAGCGGATTTGGCATTATTTTCAATAATATTTGGAGCAGTTGAAAGTAATTTGACCAACATGAAAAATTGTGATAAAGAAGCACATCTGAATAGTAAGTTTGTTAAAATGAAGTTTCCAGCTGTAGAATGGGAGGAAGTACGCAGTCTGCATGAACGTTTTGTCTCGTTGATGCGTGGAGGCGTCGATGCTAAACTACTGAGTGGCACCTATGCATCTCGAGATTTAGTAAGAAGAGTCGCAGATATAGTTTGGAACTCACTGACTCGAAGCTACTACAAAGATAGGGCGCATTTGCAGTCTATTTACAGTTTTTTAACAGAAAACAAACTTGATTGTTTTGGTGTAGCTTTTGCAGTGACTGCAAGTTGTCAGATTCTTGGCAAACATGATGTTCATCTTGCCATATCAGAAGATCATGTGTGGGTAGTATTTGGTAAAGATGGCACTGAAACGGCTGAGGTATGTACATATATATCATAATATTTTTATTAATACTTTAATTACCATTGGTTTCGGAGGAAAACTACTTCATCATCTTTACTCATTTAGGTCACTTGGCATGGTAAAGGAAATGAAGATAAGAGGGGGCGATCAGTTGGTGATGGTATTTCATCTCTATCTTGGCTATATCTGGCTGGTAAACCAGTTATCTGTAACCGGAACATGGAGCTAGCTGCTCTTGTAGCTTCTATTAACCCCACTTTAACCCCGACAATTGATGTCCATGAAATAGCACAAATGCAGCATCAACTTCTGTGGCTACTGTATGATAAAGGTAAATATAATTCCAAAAAAACATTACATGAGTTGATTGGTCTTACTGGGTACACTTTAAAGGAGTTTAGAAATTGTCTATTCTTAACACCCTAAGTAGTAACACCCTAATTAAAAACCAACAAAATTGTATCCTTTTTAAAACCACCGTCTCATAGAAAACAGGTTTAAACCTCCCCTCTCTCTGATCTGGTCACATACCATCAGGTGAACTGTTTACCTCCAATGCCATAAATAAAAACATACTTGGTTGACTTGATCAATCACCACTAAGTGCAACTACTGTATTGGTTGTGGGCTCCGGTTTCTGCATTTAGACTCAAGAATGATCCTTTATGGCTGTGAGCTAAGTGTGGTCCTTCCAGAAGCGCAGAAGCCTCCTGGGCTGGGTTCACAGGCTTCTAGGAGCGATTTTGTATCAGGAATGATACTTGCCCATTGTGTGGCCACTCTCGCATACCAGGATTATGTGGGCGGCCGTTTCTTCTGATTTCAGACATCCTCTACAAAGGACTGTCTGTTGCATTAATGGTGAATAGTTTTTGGTTTAGGGCTAGGTTTCCTGTTATAGTTCCTACAACTATTCGTATTTCTAGTCTGCTAAGACTATCAATCTGCAGGTGAGTCGTGGTGTGACTTCAGACAGCACCAGTTTGGACTGTCTGTAAAGTAAGTTTTTCCACCTCTGGTTGTGTGCTTCACTAGTCCATTGCCTGGCCCAAAATCGTAGTTGGTTGAAAGGTAGTGGTCAGGAGTATGGTTGGGCCGGTAGCCGGGTCCGTAACTGCAACTACTGTAATAAATAAAATAGATTTAAATATGTTACTTGTTTTAAAATATATAAAATAAATAACAACTATAATAAATAATACAAACCCATAGTAATGTAGCTTATTAGGTGTTCACAATTATTCGTATTAACAAAAAACTTCTACTAAATGTAATAAATGAATTCATTTCATTTGACAGGTTATCTGGATGCATATCCAATGGCATTAGGGAATCTTGCAGATTTAGATGAATATATGAAGGTTTCTAATTGTTCGGGGGACAATACAGAAGATATAGTTTTTCCTGGTGACACTAGTTTCACCCTGGCTGACAGCACACCTAGACCAGATGCTGGGGCCCTGTATACCCAAGCTATTCGATCAGCTCGAACAAATTATGAAGACCGACATGTATACCCTTATACTTTCCAAGGCGGTTATTATAATCGTCATAAGATGTTTAAGGAAGCTTTTCATGCTTGGGCCTGTGCTGGAGACGTCATAAGACAGTAAGTATTAGCTTTTAAGATGTCATGATATCACTTACAGACATTATTAATTCCATTATGTTATTATTAATTATTTTCAATAAATATTAGAAACATTACCTAAAATGACATCATTTTTAGAACCATAAATACGTAAACAAACCTAAAAACACAGGTTAAGTAAAACTTTTTTTTATCTCAGAAAAACCCTATAAAATTTTGCCCGGCCCGGAAATCGAACCCACTAAGGCAGCGTTTTTCAAATTCCACGCGAACTGAGTCGCGGGTACCAGCTAGTATTAAATAAAAACATAAAAATATTTACACAAAATATTTTATTAAAAATAATGTGTAATGTATTCTATCTCATTCTCTCGCCGACTTAATGCTTACATTTATGTGTTTCTTTTTTTATCGTGACGCATTTTCGTATCATCGAGTTTCATATCACAATAGAATCCTAAGAAGTTTCACTTCAAAAATACTTGTTAAATAATTTGGCAACTAAATGATTCACGTTTTTCATTTCTCGTTAAAGGGGGTTTAAATCGAATTATGAACTCTACAAATCAGTATAAATTTCACAGTACAGAAATATAACGTGGGAAATCCTCTCGGTATATGGGGGAATATCCGTGCTATACGAGGGATTGAAATCGCGTAATATGAAAATGCGTTATAAGAGAACCGTGTTATAGGGGGAATTACTGCATATGGTACAACCACTGAATTCTATAATTCTTATTTCATGTTTTTTATTCAATTTTATTTATGTGAATGAATGAACCCATGAATATTTAGATACACAATTAAACCTGCTTTTGCAAGATTGGTTTTCTTCTTTTACACTTCAGCAAAAAATGAATCCATGGATGGTTCAGTTGTTCGACTACATGTGGATAAAAATAAGAACGGTATTATATAAAAGGAATACTGTGCGTGTTTTAAGATTTTAGTGTAGTTTTATTTACAACTTTAATCACTTGTGTACATCAGCAGACTGAATGCCCTGCATTCTCTACCAACCAACCTTGGGTGGTGAAGAAATCTACGCGCAGAGTGTCCCCAGCCACTTTAGCGACTTAACCGAGACTTTCTCTGATAATGACGTTCATGTCATTCTGATTTTGGAGACTTGGCTCAAACCTCACCTACCCTCCACCTCATATCCTCTCACTGGCTTTGTCCTCATCTGCAACGACCGTTTAGACAAAAGAGGTGGTGGCGTCGCTATCTACCTCCGTAGTTTCCTTCCTTACAAAGTTCTCTTCCTCTTCCGATTCTTCAACAAGTGCGGAATATCTCTTTCTTAAGGTTTGTGTCAAGGGAGTTAACGTAATTCTAGGCGTAGTCTACTGCCCTCCCGTTATTAACAACTTCTCCAGTCTGGAAACGGTTCTGGAATCTTTAGGGTCGGAACACTTAGATCACATTATCATGGGAAATTTTAACACAGACCTTCTAGCTCCAAACGCTTCCCGAACACGCAACTTCTTCAAATCATACAAGCAACCAGCCTTCACGTCCTGCCCCTTCAAGCTACTCACCATAATACTGGACACCAAGATACCTGGCTTGATGATGAGCATTACGCTCACTTCTGCCCCTAACCTTGTCTTCCCACGGTCAACTTCCTGTCCCTGGTTTTTCCCACCATGATCTGATCTATCTATCCTACTTCCTAAAGCCTCCTAAAGTACCTCCCAAAATTCGCCAGATTCGCAGTTTTCGACGTATGGATGTCGAAAAAATACATTCAGATGCTGCTGAGATAGACTGGAAGAATATGGCCGCTGCTACCGCTTTGAACAACAAAGTCAGTATTTTCAATGACACCATCATCAAACTGTATGACGTCCACGCTTCTATTAGGACAATAAAACTGAAACGTGCTCCGGCACCTTGGATGACGGAAGAGGTCCGAACGGCAATGAGACGAAGGGGTCCTTTATTTTTTAAGAGGGATCGGTGTGAAAGCAAGTGGACCCTTTATAAGGCTGCTAGGTATCGGTGTAACCAGGTGATACGCAATGCTAAACGCCGACAAATTCTTCAAAACATAGAGTTATCCTCCTCTTCCAGTATCTGAAAGTTTCTTAGTACATTACGTATTGGCAAACGACAAAATCCCGAGTTCAAAAATACTATTAGTTTGAATGATATCAACCGTCATTTCTCATCTGCAACTACGCTAGATCTTCAAACTAAGTGTCAAACCTTGACCTACATATCCGGCCTAAACATTCCCACTACTGACTTATTTGAATTTTCTCCGATGCCTCCTGAGGATAACAAAAAGATTATCCTATCTATCCGCTCTAATGCTGTAGGGTATGATGCCATTAGCCGTCGCATGATTGTTACCATCCTGGACCATATCCTCTTAGCAATTACCCATATAATTAACTTTCCCCTCTTATTGGCACAAAGCTTACATCATCCTACTCCCAAAAAAAAGTAATCCTTCACTTCCTGAACATTTTAGACCTATTTCTATTCTTCCCTTTCTATCTTAAGTGCTCGAGGCCTGTGTATATGAGCAGCTTTCAGAATTTGTACGCCGACATAAGCTGCTAAGTCCTTTACAGTCTGACTTCAGGCCCGGTCACAGCACTGTTACCGCTCTCCTCAAAGTGACTGGCGATATTAGAAGGGGCATGGAAGACACTAAGGTTACAGTACTAGTAGTCTTAGTCGACTTCTCTAATGCTTTCGGCACGAAATCCTACTATCTATCCTCACACATCTAATGATTCCCACAGAGGCACTGGAATGGTTCTCCACCTATCTTCAGGGGCGACAGCAGTGTGTTCGTGTCGAAGACGCTTCTTCGAGCTGGTGCGACCTCCACTCTGGCATCCCACAACGCGTAATATTATCTCCTCTTTTATTTTCAATATTTATTAATCTCATCACACAACATCTTCAATGTGCGTATCACCTTTACGCTGATGATCTGCAGCTGTACTCACAGGCAAGAGTGGAGAACGTAGCGCAAGCCGTTAACGAGGTTAACAGGGACCTAGAATTCATAAATTCCTGGTCGATGAGATTCGGTCTTTAAACCCAACCAAATGCCAGGCCATCATTGTAGGCAGCAAACAAATGATAAGCAGATTAAATACTGCTTCAATCTCACCGATCGTCTTCAATGGCTCAGTCATACCTATAAGCCCTGTAGTCCGGGACCTCGGTCTACTCATTGACTCAACTCTCGATTGGCGAGCTCAGGTTACTCATGTGAGTCAAAATGTAACCGGAAACTTACGAACACTATAACGCCTCAAAAATTTCCTGCCTCCTAAAACCAAAACTACTCTCATGCAGTCCTTAATCATTCCTTTAATCGACTATGGTGATGTATGTTATTTCGACCTGAATGTAGACCTCCTTAATAAGCTGGACCGCCTTCTTAATAACTGCATTCGGTTAATTTACAACCTTCGAAAGTATGACCACGTGTCTGCCTTACGTTCCCAACTAAACTGGTTACCCATTCGCCTGCGCCGCAATCAGCGAGCTCTGACTTCTTTATATTCATTTCTTACCTCCCCCTCCTCACCTACATACCTTGCACCTTACCTCCGTTCCTTGTCGTCTAATCACGACAGGAATCTTCGCTCAGCAAATAATTTGCTTCTCTTATGCCCCTCTCACAATTCCGACTTCGTGAACTCTTCGTTCTTCGTTCAAGCAGTTCTACCCTGGAATGCGCTCCCGGTTGAAGTCAGGATGTCCACAAACCGTACTCAAAAAGAAATCACACAACCTTCTTCTTACTGAGACGGCAGAATCATCGAATCGAGAGTGCAGCAACTCATGGTGTACGAATATAATAATATATATCTGTATGTGTGTAGATAAGTCCGCCGATGTACAAATGTGCATAAAGTTAAAAATAAATAAATCTGGTACAGTAGGTGCACTGAATTTACATTTGAAATAATAGTTATAAAGTTTTAACTAACATATACAATTACACACATACATACATAAATATACGAATAAATACACATAAATACATATACTTTATATTCGTACACTGTAAATACTATTGATTAGGTAATTCCGCCACCTCAAGAAGGTAGTTATGAACATTATTTTTAAATGTAAAACGGTTTGGTCCTGATTTCAAGTGGGAGTGCATTCCAGAGCAGTACTGCTTTTATTGTCAATTATAAGACCAAAACACCTTATCAATGTTCAATCATAACAATCACTAATTATCAATGTCTTAATTAAATTACCTGATATTTTTTGCATTGCTTTTATTTGACTTTAGAACAAAATCAAACGATTTATTTTACAACTTCCGCACTAGGAATATATCATGTGTTGTGTGGGTTATTAAAACCTTTCATAGAACGGACAAAAACAACTCCCAAACTCGGAACAACAATTTGTGGATCTCACAGTGTTGTCCCATATGGGGATCGAACCCACAACACGCTGCGCAGTAGGAACCAGCAAGGTGACCGTTTAAACCACTTCGCCATCCGTCCAGTCGCAATTGAACTTTTATTATTGAATTCATCATGTTTCAATGGGCCTGTTCGCACTGCCAATATTCGCGATTGACCTTAGTGGGTGCCTCATCTCCCCTAGTCGTATCGTATTTCTATTTTTTACGAAAAATATTTTATCTTATTTAATTTTGCACTATAGTAACGTGGTGTAGTATGTGTACTTACTGGTGAATACAAATAAAAGTCGATATCCACTTACTGTTATAATTATATGTTCACAACACATGTACACAACACGAAATACTATATAAAATACAGAAGGAGAACAAACAAGAGACACACAATATACACAACGCGACACAGAATAAACTGTCCATTCACAACACTTTATACTATTTATATAATAACACAACAATAACACGAGAACGCGCAGGGTGTGCGTTACCCCAGCAAAATAATGTCGAAAATGGTCATTTAAACGTTATAGATAATTAGTTGCTCCCCTTCTGTAATTGTTAGGCACACTTTTAAATTTGTTTCATTTAAACTTTTTTA